AGCACGGGTCCCCATACCCCTACTGAAAGCAGTGAAGGAGGAGCTGGACCGAATGGAGACAAACAACATCATCGAGGCTGTGACAGAACCAACGGAGTGGTGTGCACCGATGGTGCCGGTCCCGAAAAAGAATGGTACGGCACGCATCTGTGTCGACCTAAAGAGACTAAATAAAGCTGTCAAAAGAGAGAGGTTCATTCTGCCCACAGCGGAAGAGATGATAGCCCAGCTGAGTGGGTCCACAGTTTTCTCTTCTCTGGACGCAGCTTCTGGATTTTGGCAGATCCCTCTGGACAAGGACAGCCAGAGACTGACCACTTTCATAACACCTTATGGAAGGTATTGCTTCAAGCGTCTCCCTTTTGGGATCACAAGCGCCCCAGAAATCTTCCAAAGGAAAATGGGAGAGACTCTTGAAGGGCTGCAGGGAGTTGCAGTCTATATGATTGACGTCATCGTCTTCGGGAGGGACATGTGAGCACAATGAGCGCCTGCAGAGAGTAATGGTACGTCTGGAGTCAGCAGGCCTGAAGCTAAACACAGAGAAATGCACGCTGAGAAAGACTGAGTTACAGTTTTTGGGCCAGGTGATCAACAAAGATGGTGTGCGACCTGACCCAGAGAAAGTGTCAGCTATCAACAAGCTCACCCCACCTGAGAGTGTCCAAGAGTTAAGGAGAGCCCTTGGCATGATAAATTATTTGGGGAGATATATTCCTGATCTCGCCACGGTGGGTCAACCACTGTATGAACTGCTGAAGTCAACATCAGATTTGTCACGAAGGTGCCCTAGTTGAGGGGTTTTTGTCTCGTCTTTTTCTAGTCTCGTCATTTCCTGTTTTATTTTGAAGAATAACCCTCATCTCGTTTCAGGTCACTTGCACTTCCTGTTGTGTCACCAGTCTGAGCGTCTCCCTGATTACCTATTGTCTGCACCTGGGCATCCCTTCCCTCTCGTGGTCAAATAGTCCTCGTCTCCCCTTGTCCCGTGCCAGTGTGTTTCGTTCCCAGCCACAGAGCCTGTTTTGTCCTTAGTCCTCGTCATAGAAACCGTCACAGTTCCTGTCCCTTGCCTTTTGAGCCCCCTTAGTTTTTGCCTCTGCTACGATTGCTTTTCTGTTCCTCCTAGACGTCACATTCCTAGTGAGTATTTTGGTTGTTACTTTGTTCCTGCCTTGCCTCCTTGGGAGAGATTTATTTTGTTACTTTGGCAGCTTTGTTTTGTAACTTTTTCGCAGCCTCGGTTCGAGAGCCTTTTCTGTTTGTACTTTGTCCTCCGATTCTGGAGCGCTTTATGTTTGTTTTTGTCCACTCCTTCGAGTGAGCCTTTTTTAATAAATTTTGGAATTTTTGAACAACTCTGCTCCTGAGTCCTCGTGAGTCCATGAACGTGTCAAGTTTGGATTTGGGGTCCTGCGCAGCAGGCAGCCTTCGACAGAATCAAAGAGCTTCTCACAACATCACCTACCCTGATGTACTATGATGCTAACAGGAGCACTGTAGTCTCAGCCGATGCTAGCAGTTATGGAGTGGGCAGTGTCCTGTTGCAGCTCCACGGTGAAGACTGGAGACCAGTGGCATTCTGTTCAAGACGACTAAGCGATGCTGAAAAGAGGTACGCTCAAATAGAAAAAGAGTGCCTTGCATCTGTGTGGGCGTGTGAAAGATTTGAGAAATATCTTTATGGCCTGCCTGCATTCAAGCTGATCACAGATCACAAACCTCTCATTCCACTGATGAACTCCAGAGACCTTGACAACACACCAGTACGCTGTCAAAGACTTCTCATGCGATTGATGAGATTTAACTTGGAGGCTGAATATGCACCTGGGAAAACACTGGTTGTGGCAGACATGCTGTCCAGGAGCCCACAACAGGGAACGGAGCACAGCAGAGACAGCCACACAGATGTGGAATGTTATGTAGCTGCTGTGATGAGCAGAGTCCCAGCGTCACAGACAAAGATGGATGGCATCAGAGCAGAGACAGCCGCTGATGAGCATCTCCAAGTGGTAATCAGGTACATTAAAAATGGGTGGCCTGAACACATACAACACACTCAGAGCTGTGTAAAAGAATACTTTCCTGTGAGAAATGAACTGTCTGTGCATGATGGGTTAGTACTCAGAGGGAGCAGGATAGTGATACCTGGTTCAATGAGAACAGAAATCTTAAAACGCATACATGATGGTCATCAAGGACTTAACAAATGCAGAATGAGAGCAAACACTTCGGTGTGGTGGCCTGGCATAGCTTCACAAATCACACAAAAAGTGGAAAACTGTATATACTGTCGGGAGCACAGGAGGGCACAAAACAAAGAACCTCTCCTGTCAACACCCCTCCCAGACAGGCCATGGAGAAAAGTCGGCATAGATCTTTGTGAGCATGGAAAAGAGAACTTTCTTGTCATATCAGACTATTATTCCAGATACCTGGAGATTCTCCACATGCCAGCCACCAAAAGCACTCAAGTGTCTCTGAAGCTGAAAGCTACTTTTGCCCGGTATGGAATACCAGAAGAGGTTGTCAGTGACAATGGGCCACAGTTCAGCAGTGAAGTCTTCAAAAACTTTGCCCATGAGATGGACTTTAAGCATGTGACCTCCAGCCCCCACAATCCACAGGGCAACGGACATGCTGAACGTGCAGTGCAAACGGCCAAAAGAATACTGCAACAAAAAGATCCACTACTGGCTCTTATGATTTATAGATCCTCACCGCACAGCAGCACCGGTGTCAGTCCGGCTGAACTATTAATGGGCAGGAAAATCGGAACAACCTTACCTACTCTGGATAAAGTCCTGCAACCAAAATGGCCAAACCGACAGCACATCAGAGCTAAGGACGCTGTGGAGGAGAGGAAGCAAGCATTCCACTACAATAAGCGACATGGTGTGAGGCCGCTCACACCACTGCAGCCAGGTAACCCTGTTCTCGCTAGGCTGGACAATCAGAAGACCTGGTCCACACCGGCAGAAGTTGTTGGGGAAAGTACAACAGAGAGATCATATGTCATCGCTACAGAGCAAAGAGCCCTGTACAGGCGAAATCGCCGTCATCTCCAAGCACTGCCTGAGGTCGGGTCCTCAGTTGAACAATCTGGAGAACCTAACACACCTGATGTTCAGACGAGCTCTGGAGGTAGCTCTCCTGGCCCTAAGAAGACCCCTAGTGGACTGTCTCAAACCAGATCAGGGGAGTTGTTAAACCTGTTCAGAGACTGGATCTGTAAGGGATGTTATGATCAAAATGTTCCAGAGGAAATTTTATATTGTGTTGATGCAATACTGTTTGTTTATGATCAAAATGTTCTAGAGGAAATTTGATATTGTGTTGATGCAATACTGTTTGTTGATGAAGCCCTAAATGGCTGGTTATTGAAAATGAACAAGGATGTTACTGTTACACTGCGGAATTAATACTGTAAGCATTAGTGATAATACTGTTTGCCAATATTATTGGAAATTTCGAAAGAAAAAAAAAGGGGAGATGTCAGAGAATGTGTTTTGCGACATACACTTTATGGCTAGTGGGTTAGGACACGGAAAGCTAGGAGACGCGGGACAGTTGAATGGCCGCCGATGTTCTGTTATGACGTGTGTTAAGAGAGCACTTGTTCAATAAAAGCCCGGAGTTGAAACTACAAGGAACTCATTATTTTACGATAAACAATTAAGTTTATCACACATGTGATTTTAAAAAACAAACCAAAAAATGAAAAAAACATGTACAATTCAAATTGATCAGATGGTTACAAATTGGGGATAAAACAAGGCCCAAAACTGACTTCAGAATGAGTCCTTTCACAATTCCTTATTCTCCTGTAGCACACACTCTGGAAGAACCAGAGGATCCCTCTGAACTTTCAGCAGTGTTGACAGACAAGCATGCTGGCTGATGAAATGTCAGTCTGGGGAGAAACTATGGGCTGCCATGGGCGTGCCCGTAGTTGCGTCACTGCCATCTCTGGAATCAAAAACAATTCCTTTAAGTTCTGATTGAAACTTGAATTAATAGTTTGGAATAATGCTTTATTAATTCTTTATTAAACATCACAAGCGAAGGCGCCCGATCCAGACTGATGTGTCCAAATATTATTCTGTTTAAATGACTGTATGTAGGCCTAATGATGATCAGAGGTGCTGCTTCTCTGCCTCGGTTTGCTGGATGAGAATATATATATGTATATATATGTATATATATATATATGTGCATATATATATATGTACATATATATGTACACACACACACATATATATGTAGATATATATATGTACACACACACACATATATATGTAGATATATATATGTACACACACACACACACGTGTGTGTGTGTGCATTTCAATAAGTTTTTTTATGTTTCCCTATATTATATTTTGATCTCTTCCTCTCTGTTTTAGTAATAGTGTTGACTGGGACAGCCTTTCTTCTGTAACTGTCTTTGGAGCTAATTTCACCCTCCGATCTTGTCCAAGGTTAGTAAATATAAGGCAATCCAAACAGGTACTTAGTTAATCCCAGGACCACTTTATTTCCCCGACAACCACACAGGCCCCCAAACTAGTGAAACAATTCTCCCTCTGCAGTTTCTTCCTGATCCTTTTTCTAAAAAACAACTTTAAAAGAAAGATTCTGAGGTCTTTCCATTTTATTTTAAGGAATACAGCAATGACTTTGAAACAATTATTGTGAAAACTGAACTGCTTGAGTGTAACAGTGATTTGAGTCTAAATGTATGTGTGAAATATGTCAGAATGGTTTTTAATCCCCTTTTGTATGTTTTTTTTCCTTCTTTTTTTGAGCAGTTAATTTTTTACTGGAGTTGGACGTAAGATCCCAAATCCTCTGTGGAACTTTCCTTGCGGAACGTTTGTAAACGGGACTCCGCCGTCGGAGGACTAAACCGGAGACACCCGCTCAGCGCCATCTTGGCTCCATGTGAGCTTCTCGTCTGGCATGTCAGCTGAGTCTGAAGGTGACTGTCTTCATTTCAAATGGCTTCGCTGTACACGGTCAGAAGGATGCTGTGTGCCGCCGCGGACGGAGCGGCTGCCGCGGCTGCCGCAGCCCCGAAAGGCCGCTGGGAGAGGCTGAAAAGCAGCAAAGCAGGTGAGGACCGGAGGGCGGCCTCAGACAGCCTCATTCAGGCTCAGTCAGGCTAAAAGGTGACCAGCAGTCCATCTCTGCACACATAATCATTTATCTAGGGACCGATCGTACCATTAAACGTAAGCCCTTTTAATTCCATTTAGCAATAAATGTGTTAAATATTATAATTGAAGATATCTGATATTCAATAACAGTGATTTGATAAAGGGAAACAGGACATTGGCACAGATTTTGGTGGATGAGTTTAGGGTGGTCATCATGGTTTTTACTTTGCCTGACATGGGTTCATTCTCATCTGCCTCAAACTAGCAGGATCTTGTTGTTACGTGAAAAGCTACTACTTCCAGATAGTGTGATGTTTCCTGCCTTTATGTGGAATAACTTGAGTGCTGGAATAAGAGGATTTGCCTGTACTGACAGCAAACAGGGCGACTTATAGAGATGTTAAGTATTAAGTCAAACTAATGCCAGCCAAAGTAATGTACACAAAAGTACAATAAGACAAACGCACACACACGAGGTAAACGTATTTACTATGGAGGGTTGAGGGTGACTAAATTAAATGTATAAATATATAATGAAACGCATACCTGTAAATTTCCCACTAATTCATTAAATGTATTTAAAAAGAGTAAAAATCGATAAATGCTATAATTAAATAATTAAAATTACCACTAAATAATTAAAGTGATAATTTAATCATGAGTTACATCAGTAAATAATTAAATGCATCATGGAATTATAAAATATGCATTTAAATAATTAAAAGTGTCATGAAATGATTAAACCTACCTTTTTAAATGATTAAATTAAATACAAAAATGTCCTTTTAAAGATAACCCTTATTTACAGATATATGATTTCAATTTGTATTTATTTATTTATTTATTAAATGCCTCCTGTGGAAACGTTGTTGTCATTAAATAATTTAAACTATTGATCCTGTGAAGCCTCTTGTTTTGGTCCGTTATCTGTTTTGTGCTGTGCTAACATATTTAAATCATTAATCCAAAGGTATGTCATTTATTACGTAGTTGTTAATTTCATCATATATTTATTTAATTTTGTCACCCATAGCCCTCCATAGATGCACACCTCAGTTTGTAGCCTTCAAGGACTGTTGGAATATCTGGATGAGTGTTCTTTAGGTGGTTGCAGAGGAGGGTGTGAATGCTAACTGGGGGCTGTCCCCTCTGCTGTGCGCAGGCGTGTGGTGCCGCAGCCTGCTCTCCGACTACAGGGAGGCGTGCCGGGAGATGGTGGTGGGCGCCTGGGAGCGCCCGCTGCGCAGCTCTGCGTACGGCGCCCTGCTGGCCGGCGTCTGGGCCTGCTTCCACACCAACCCCGGGCGCTGCTCCTTCGAGGCGGCGCTGCTGGAGCGCTCCAACCAGCTGGGCCTGCTGTCGGCGTGGACGCGCAGCGCCGCGGCCGACGGCCACGTGCAGAGCCTGGCGCGGCTGCGCGAGCAGGGCCGGCTGGGCTACGCCAGCCTGGGCCTGCTCTCGCTGGTCTACCGCGCCGAGAACCACGGCGACACCATGCTGTTCGAGGCCCGCTGCCCCGACCTGGCGGCGCCCTGGAGGGAGCTGCCCGGCCGGGTGCTGGACGTGGGCTTCACCGGCCGCTGGTGGGTGCTGGACTCCAAGATGGAGGACTACGACATCAACGAGGAGGAGTTCAAGCAGCTCCCCGCGCACATGCAGGACACCCGCCCCCCCGGCGTGGAGGAGGTGGAGCGCAACGAGAGGCTGCACAGGGAGTCCTGGCTGCCCGTGGCCGTGGAGGAAGAGGAGGACGGTCCAGCCGTCGCTGCTGGGACGGACAGAGCCGGCCAGGAGAGTCAGACAGACGCAGCGAGGGAGGAACGGACTTAAGCACTGTGGGCTGGGATGTGAGGTAGTTTATTTCCATCCCACAGCCCAAAACACACGGAACATCACAGAAAACTGTTCTTTTTCATATATTTTAAAAAGGTCACCTTCCATAAACTGAAGGGGAAGATCTGGGATGCTAAACGCTGACCTCTGAGTCTGCATTTAGCTCTACTTTGAATATTAAATCTTACTCCGTGTGTCTTTCAGATAACGTGCCACCCTGTCATCTTTTAGGTCAGAAGCTAGTTGTTGGTAAATGTCTGACCCATGAACGGATTCCTACACAAACCTGCCACTGTCCGGCTGTTCAGGACACCGAAACAAGCTAAACGAGCTCAGCCAGTTTCTTGAACTCCGACGCATACCTCTCATTCTGTTTGTGGACAGTAAATGTTTCAGCCGGACTAACGGGCTAAAGGTGGGGATCAGAAGTGGTTCTCTGAAAGCTCCAGGAGAGTAATGGAGGGAGCTGTTCTTTAGCAATGATCAGCTTTGGAAATGTCCGGCCAATCATGCCAGTTTGTTGTTTCTATGTGTACATATGGATGTATCGGCGTTTGTGTGTATGTGTATATATATATATATATTTATATATATATATATATATATACATACACATATATATATATATATGGTAGATTTTCTTACATGAACTTAATCCAGAACAGGTCTGTGGGAACAGCTTGAAACTATCTGGAACTTTACAATAAGAGAGACTGTCAAAAATTATATTTGAAAAATAAAAAAATCTAATATTACAACGCAAGCTGTCATCACAGAAGACCAAAGAAGTGTTCACAAATGGTTAAACCTTCATGTTACCGTGTTTAAAAAGGAATATACAGATTTTTAGTTTACCTGTCAAATAAATACAGTTTTTAAAAGATGTTATCTTGTTTAGTTTTTTTTTTTTACATCTAAATTTGTGTATATATATATATATATACTTTTTTTTTTTTAAAGCACATGACATGGATGCCTTTAACCTTTTTATTCTTTGAGAAAAAATTCCCCCCCCTCATACTTATAATCCAACCATGAGGAAATGCAAATGGTGGCCTCATGACATTCGGGGCGGCTTGCGGTTTTACAGATGTGACTCTTTGGCTCCGGTTATCAGACGTCATGTGGGGGACATCACAGGTCGGGGGGGGGGGGGGGGGGCCGCATCTGGCTCTGTCCACGGGGAGCTGCTTTTAACTGGACCACAAGGTGGTGCTGCGCTGCAGAGAAGGACTGGGCGCGCCCATACGGAGGCCAGTGTATTTAATACCTGTTCACTCTCCACAACACAGTAACAGCTAATGGAGGTGTGCCACCGGCCAGCTAAGCTAAATAGGGAGCCTAGTGCTTTGCTTTTTTCTACACCACAAACAGGAAATTGGTATAATTAAGTGAGTTTTAGGAGCTGTTTCCTGGTCCCATGGACCAGTTCCACTTATACTGCATAACAAACTGTCCAGTGCTTTCAGGAGAGTTTAAAAAACTGTGATTGACACCTTTGTAGGAGCACAGTGGACGTGTGGTCCTGTGATTAATCAATTAGTCCAGTCAATTCCATAATTGGACATTTTTATCAATTTGAAGCCGAACAAATTGGAGACGAGGTGCCTCATAATCCAGTTTATTCACTAAGCGACAGAATCGCTTCATCACAGCTTTGATTACAGAAGAGGAAGAGCAGCTTCTCCTTCAGGTTACGCTCAAAGAGCCAAACACAGAGATGTTCAGCTCCATATGTTCACCACGAATGATATGTACAAATGTCCAGCTTTGGAGGGGATTCTCTGCGAAGACAAAACAGATTTATTAGATGAACGAGGGAGGATTCCTCATAATGGAATGAGACAGTGGGAACAACAGCACTCCAGCGTTTCCTTTATGATCTTCAGATCACCTGAGAGGATCAGAGGTGATTCCGCCTGGTTGGAAGGGATGCTGGTTTGTTTTACACACTGCCAAGTGAACTACGACTCCCAGGAACCGGAGGCCAGAGCTCGGACGCACATGGTTCAGAGCAGAAGCTGGAGGGGCCATTTGACTCGTGTGGGGCTTTGTTTGTCCAGCCGGCCAATCACAGCCTCTACGCTCACCATGTAGGGCGGCACGTCTCTGACCTTTATGTCTTTACTCTCCACACACCAGCTTCCTCCAGAGTTTAGTAAGAGATCTGAACTTAGACTATCTATCTATCTATCTATCTATCTATCTATCTATCTATCTATCTA